AAAAAAAAAAAAAAAAAGAGGACAGGAGAAGGAGCAAGCGTAGAAGCGAGCGAAGACGAAACACTCTTTAGCATCGCCAATGCACGGAGTACCGCCGCCAAATGGTCCACACAAGGTGCACGCTTGGGCGTCACTTGCAATTACCTCAAACTTTTCCGTGTCGTTCATGTTTGAGGGGAAGTTCGATAAGGTTTTGTGGACAAAAAATTCAATGAGCAAATGTCGCAACGCGCCAGAGGGATAATGTGGTCGCCCTTGCACTTGCCCTTTTTAGATGCTCCTACTCCTCACAGGAAAAACTAAGACGGACAGAATTTTCTCTTACGCGCAAAATTAATGCGCGCAGTTTGGGAAACGGACAAACATGTAGGTTATTTCCATTTAAAGGTTCTTTTTTTTTTTTTTTTTTTTTTTTTTTTTTTGCGTGCGTCCAACTGTGCACTTGGCTTGTAATCCATATCGGCCCAACGGACACACCTTGTGCCGCTCTCCTGGGCGTGTAAAAAGTGGAAGTAGACTGCTGTGCGTGTGTTACGCTATGTGTCCATTTTCATTTTGTGTGAAAGAACTTTTCGAGGTGAAAAATATAAACGCACTTTGTTGAGGAGATAAAAAGGAAGAGGTGCCTTTTATGGGGTTAATTTTCTCTTCCTATATTTTCCGAGTGCGCGAGAAAAGGTGGGTAAATTGGACATCACCGCTTTGTTTTTTCGTACCATGCTTGGTGGAGCTACACAGTTAATCGGTAAGTCATTGATGAGGTAACTGGTTAATCGTTTTTCTTTTTTTCCCCCCTTATGGGCTCATCACTGACAACCCCTTGGCAAATTAGCCTGGAGAAAAAATTCCCCAATTTCATAACCCGCGCGAGGATTTTAACTACTCCCCCCACCCTATGTTCCCCTTCTACTTGCTTAAACTGTTTACCTTTTGAGCGTTCCCTATGGCTGCGCTCCTTCCGCAGAAGCGGAGTGACCTACTTGGGGACGAATACGTCATGTACTCAATCGAGTAGTCTGCACGCACACACACATGGGGAGGTGCGGACATACAAACGCACCTAGTGCGTGAGGAAGAATTTGACTTGCATTTGAGAAAGGCCTCAAATGGTGCACGTTTAATGGGTGTCCACTTTGTAATAAATTACACATGTCTAACGCTTTTTTTTTTTTTTTTTTTTTTTTTTTTTTTTTTTTTTT